TGTCCATTCCCAGCGGGTGTCAAGTCGAGTTAGATCTGTTAGTGAGGAAGCTATAGTACTATAGTTCTTCACAAATGGACGATAATAGCCCGTCATCCCCAAAAACGATTTGAACTCAGTAACAGTCTGAGGTCTGGGCCAGTCTCGAATGCTGGCCACCTTTGCATCGTCCGGCCTCAACCCATCTGCTGAAATTTCATGACTCAAGTACAAGATCTTGGTGCGACCAAACTCGCATTTCTCCAAGTTAACCTTGTACTGGTGCTGTCTTAGGAGACCTAACACTATTTTCAAGTGCTCAGCGTGCTTCTCTATAGTGTTACTAAAGATGAGGATATCGTCGAGGTACACGACGATAAACTTATCTAAGTAATCATGAAAGATCCTGTTCATTGCGTGCTGGAATGTCCCAGGAGCATTGCATAGGCCGAAGGGCATCACCACAAACTCGTACAGACCGTACCTGGTCCGAAATGCGGTTTTGTGTTGATCCTCAGGTCTAATAGCAATTTGATGGTATCCGGACTTTAGATTTATCTTAGTGAAGTACCGGCATCCCTGCACTCTATCCAATAGGTCATCGACGCGGGGTAGGGGCTCTGCGTTTTTAACAGCGATGGCATTGAGACCCCTGTAATCAATGCACATCCTCAGAGTACCTCCCTTCTTTGGGATAAATAGAACTGGCGCACCGTAAGGGGAGGTACAAGGCCGAATTTATCCCTTCTATGTGAGCTCCTTGAGCTGGCGGCGGAGCTCATCCAGCTCCGCAGGAAACATCCTATAGATTCGTCCTCTAGGCACCTTACTACCTGGTGGAACAACCTCTATTGCATGGACAACCTCCCTTTCTACCACGCCTGTGGGATCCTCAAAAAGCTCTGAATACTGAGCGACGACTGATTTTATCTTTGGGGTTGTTTTTACGGCCTCCCCTTTCTCAGAGACAAATACTAGATACATGCCCTCCTCGCGATTTTGCTTATAATAGTTATAAACAAATGATGCAGACATGCACCCGTAGTTTTCTATCAGACTGCTAACTTTAAACTTCTACAATCTAACAGATCTACCATTGGGCAATTTATGAATCAACGCATTTCTATCCCAGTCAAACTGCGGTTGCGCGACCTCGAGGTAGTACATACCAATGAGCATGTCAAAGGGCAGTTCGTCGCTGACCAGGAAGGAGATTTTATGGCTCACTTCCCCTCCTCCATAGGAGAAGGTACAGACTACGTCCTTGACATAGTCTTTTACCAACATTTGATTGCGGGCAGATCGTGGAGCATGGAGTGATGCCTGTTCCTCGACCATCAGGCAGAGGGCGCCCTCCTGAATCGAGAATGCAGTATCATGTGAGATTCATAAATCATCTGGATCCCAAGGAAGATTGCTGGTTCACACGAGAAGAACTCCTAAGAACAACACGTCAAGTGATTGCGAGCTATGAAAGAGAACAGAGAGGGAAGATGCCTGCAGAATAAGAGACTTCTCAGAAGACTAACGAAGTAAAGGAGGAGGGAATGCGAGGATTTGGGTCCTCAGCAGGCCTAAGGGGCCCCACTTGCAGTGGTGCCCGCCCTAAGTGAAGGCGGGCCTAACTTATCACAAGAGGCCTTTGACTGTCAATTTCATATTTGGGGTCCAGGCAGTTGCAACACGCCAGTTAGTTGAGTGAAACACAGGCCGAGCAACCAAGACATTTCCACGGCCTTCTGGGGCTCTCCGAAACATGCAGGCCCTGGACGAGAAATGCAGCCTCATACACTTACAGTTGGGAGGCCCAACCGAAAGAGGCCCAGTAGCTGCAAAGTAGCACGCAGCATCTTGGGGCCTACCGGAAGCTTCTGGGCCTAGGCCAAGTCCAGCCAGGCTGCGAAGCAGGCAGGCTCTTTCCATATAGGAAAGAGCTCGCCAATCTCAGCCTCATTCAGGCACCCGCATGCTAGTGGCAGCGCTGCTGGAGCAAAGGCTCGTGGGCTGCTGTTGGCGCTGAGAGGCGAGGTGCAGCACGTGCGGTCGTGCAGGGAAGAAGGGCGCTGCTGAGGGCAGCGCCATAGCCCAGCCACCATAGCTGGTGGGCTTGGACTACAGTGAGGCGCATGAGTGGTCTTCGGGTGTAAGGGAGGAAGACGTGGGTGTTAAGTCAGGGAAGGGTGAAGGATGATGATGTGAGGGTACATACCTTGTATTGGCGATGGTCTGCATTTGGGCGACATCTTAAAGTACTTCGGGTTGCCGCTGCTGATGTCAACAGTTGCATTGTCAATTAGTAGGCTGATCGTAGCTGTGTAGGAGTAGACTGGGCGCTGAGCACCAAGTAGGAGTGTGAAGGGACTGGACTCTGGTGTTGTTGGCGGAGACAGAAAGGTCTCCTTGACATTGGTTTTCAGTACTACGAACCTCCATTGGTGTATTATTGGTGCAATGCTGCTCTCTGGACACGGTGTGACTATCTGACTTTCAATGTGATGGTGTAATCTGGAATTGTCATCTCGCTGTTGCTCATTTTCCTTGCAAATTCGAAAATAAATAAATAAAGATAATGGCCAAGATATTTTGTTAACGAAAGGGAAGGGGGGGGGCTGTCCCTTA